CACTCATCTCCTTCACCCGTATATGTCCCTCCCTCGTCTCTTTCTTTTTCAAAAACTTTGACATTCGAACCACCACCTATCAATTTCTCTCTCCCTCTCTCTCTCTCTCTCTCTCTCTCTCTCTCTCTCATTTTCTGTTCGGATCGGAGGTGGTGACGGCGGTGTTTAGTGGAGGTGGTAGGTTGCCGGAGGTGACGGATAATACAGTGGATAGAAAAGATTTTTACAGGAATTTCCATTTTACCTTAAGTTAAAAACAGAAGCTATTGTTGTTTGTTTACTTTAAAAATGTTTTGATTTTATATTAGATGTGTTATAGTTGGATTAGCTGACAATTAATCAGCTATTAAGAGCATACATTTTTCAATGTTTGAAATTAGTAAATATCAATGGTCTAAATTGTAAAGATCAAAACTGAATTTGTAAATATCAAGATCTTCTTAAAAGAATTAGTTTCACCATACAAAAAGGCTTAGCGGCGCAGCTTGTTGCCAGTTTGGCATCTCACTCGTTGTACGATGATAATTAAATGAGAAAGGAAAAGGATTTAATATCAAGATTGAATTTGTTATAATATATATAGTATGTGTTGTGATATTAATGAAGTTCAATTAAAAAAAATTCAATAAGATGGTTAGATTATTTAAAATAAACTTTGGCAATAACTAAGAGGTTGGCTAAATAGACACCTCATTTAGCTATTTAGACAACCCTACAATCAATTATTACATAATAATTACTTTTAAATTATAATTATCTCCTAGTTTTCAACATGCCTTTATTGTTCACAAATTTAATCCCTAAAAATTAATTATATCAAATTTAGTCCCTAAAAATTAATTGTATCAATTTAGAACCCTTTTTTTTCATAAATTTATTCTTGCAATACAATTATAAAATATTATACTCGATAAAATTTATATCATTTTTTCCTGAAACTTATAAATGACTTATATTAAAAAAAAAACAAATAATAAATGATATTAGGACGAAAAATAAGTCCGTTACAAATTTAAAACTTCATACAAGTATGCAATTACAAAGTGTTAGTCAACAATATGAAAAATATATTGTTTATGTTTGATAAATCACGAATGGAAGAAGTAAGCAAAACAAAATTATATATAAAGAAAACTATCCGAGAAGCTTGAAGGTAAATAAATGGCTTCAATTAACACCCCAAAAAAACAATGATTATATCTCTCTTTGCATTCAACAAACTTCCACACCCTAAAAACTACCCAAAAATTAATTGTATCAATTTTGAACATTTTATCATAAATTTGTTCTAATTATAAAATATTATAATCGATAAAATTTATATCATTTTTTGGAACTTCTATTCATACGTTCACTAAATTCACTTTTAAATTTATATAATTTTTTACTTATCTACCCACTAAATCTATTCTAAAATTTATATATTTTAAAGTTTTTCTTGTTTTACAATTGATAAGGGGGACATATTTTTATCGTTTGTGGCCACATAAAGTTTTACACTAAAAAGTGTTCGAAATACATATGATGATTACATATTACTTTTGATTTTTTAAACAAAAAGTTATTATAATGAATGGCATAAATACGTTATCCAATAACTTCTTTAGATTTAAATGTGCGATCTCAACTCTATTCGTAGTTCGTTGTCCAAAGTTGAGATGTTGATCAATCCAGATTGAGACAAACATTTCCTTATATTTGTTTAACCAAACTTCATCCAGATAATTTAAAACATCTGCAATTATATAAATGTTATTTATCTATAAAAATAGTCTAAAATCATAAATAATTAGTTAGAAAATACGAAGATTTGTACCTTGATATTTTCTCAACATCGATTGGAGTGTTTTGTAGTTTTCATTGTACACTATCCATGTTGGAGAGTCAACAAGTACAGTCCACATTACACGAAAGGATTTCCACTCATCGTCTATCTTGAATGTTCTCCTCCAACGCTTTCTAATATTTTCAGTAATGTGTCATCTACAAAGTAATCGAGTGGCACTTTGGGAAAACTTGTTGACATGCGTTCATCAGTGCCAATTCCCTGTCTGTGGCTATAACGCGTGGGTGCATGCACTTGTCTAGTGTGAACTTTAGACACGTTAACACCCAATTATAGTTCTCCTCCTTTTCATTAATGATAAAGGCAAAAGCTATGCTAAATGTCTTGTTGGTTGAAGTTGTGCCAACAATCTGAACAAAAGGCATACCATATTTGTTGGTCTTGTATGTTGCATCTTTAATCAAAACGTGTGGAAGCGCCTTCCATATATTCAACGACCGTGGATAAATGAAGAAAAGATTTTCCAATTCATTTGAAATACTGTTTACGGAGAACTCCGTAACAAAATGTTTCTCGTTCAAAATTTCCATTAGAACCTACATTTAAATACTGTTAATTAATAAAAAAAATTAATATACAAATTAAATTTAAAATACTACTTGTTGGATATACTAACCTGCATTGGAGTTTTTTCGTAATTTCGGGACAAGCGAAGCTTGAGACGCTCATTGTATATGGTTTTTAGTGTAAAAACATTATTCTCGTCACGCTCTTTTAATATCGAGAGTATGTCATGTGGTGCAACTGGCTGATTTGTCAAGTCAGCCACCAATTGTTTCTCGTGTTCTTTCAACCGCCTAGCAAAAGCATGTCCCTCCATATATTGTGCAGGTGGATGATTATGTTGATCACATATCACCCTGAGGGTCCAACCGTCATATTTTTTGATATACGAACCTACCAATTGAAAGTTACAATTTATTTTTTTGGTTCCAGAATTTTTAATTGTTGCTTTGCTTTCATATTCATGACCACGGTCACAAATAAGTGTAATATAAGACACCACACCATTTTTTGCCTTTGATCTTCTCATCACGATGACATAACCAAGAGAGAATGCAATGTTTTGCACCCATTCCATCAACTCATCACGAGACTCAAACACCTATTTAAAAAAAAACTTTGTTAACAAATTGTAACACAATGATAAAAAAATGTTAATCAACATTTGAATTATACCTGCTCCGTAGAAAACGATGATGTCGTCGTCGTGTTCTCAACGCCGTCATTTAAATTATTTCCATCGGGTCTCCACATTTTTTACTAAACACTGCAAAATAATAAGTAATTATAAAAAATAAAATTATATAGTATTAACTACTCATCCAAAAATTAATATGTTTTATAAACAAAAATTTAGTGTAAAAACTAATAAACGTGGTGGCCCAAGTTTTACCTTCAGCCCATTTTTTATTTTAGCCCAATTTTAAACCCGTCCAAACAAATACAAAAAGAAACCCTAAAATTTGTAAGCCTCCACTCCAAAATCAATCGCGTCTCTTTTAATCCACACTCTACACTCTCACTGGAAGTCACTGCTCTCCACCCTCTCTCATCGGATTGATCTTCGGAACGACACACCACCACCATCAGAAACGACGCACCACCAATGTCGTCGTCTCTTTTCTGTCGACCATTTCCGCCGTCTCTTTACCTCCGTTGTCTTCTCTGATTCTTCCTTCATACTGAATTCTGGTATTCGACCATGGTTACTGACATCGCATATGGCCTTGACATCATCGAAAAGACAATTGCAACGTCCGATTTTTGACAAAACTCTCCACTCTCTCACTCTATTCTCAGTACACATCTGTATACTCGTCGGTATACCACCGTCGGACCACCGGTGAAGGTGAAGGTGGCGGCATTACGATAAATACTTCAAAAGTTGATTTAAGATTCAGAATAGATTATTTACCTTGATTTTGGTTGGTTCACTGTTAATTTGTGTTATTGGCTTATAAACTAAGAATTTTTTTTAAACAATTGGTTAGTAGTTGATTATGACCAAGTCTCAATATAATCAAATTTAATTCTCATTAAAAACACAGTCTTCAAAAAATGGTTAGTGGTTATTTAATTGAAATTTATGATTGTAAAAAATACAATTTACACTAAAAGAAAAAAAATTGAATCGTATGTGGCCAGTTTGAAAAATGTTTGAAGTATAATGAGTTTAATTTAAAAGTTAAAATTGTTATTTTGCTTTTTACAAGGAGCTAAGTTGTAAAATTTTAAAATATGTTTTGCTGAAATCTTTATTGAATATTAAGGCGAAATCCTAATAAAAAAGCTATTTGACTTTTAAATTGGTTGTCTAAGGATGTCTAAAATGGTGTTTTATTAGCAGCACACAGTGTTAAATGACTTTTTTTTATAGAAAAAAGCTGAAAATATTAAACTTTCAAGAGTCAAAATGTTTAATTTCCAAGGTGTTTAGTTTGATTAAAAAGTCATAATTACAGGTAATCTTGGGTCCAAATAGTAGGACCCATAAAAAGAAAGTTTTAGTCAAATAAATAGGTCAATATAATATATTAGGCTACACATAGAGATATAGAGATGGAGTAGGATGGTGTGGAAAAAGAAAAACCCATTGGAGAAATCAAGCAAAGACCCCATTACCCCTAGATAAGTAGATAAATCTCTTTGATCTGATTTCCAATTTCTCAAGTCTCACCAACAGTCCATGCGATTGTTTGAATCAAGAAGACAAAAAAACGCATATCTAATTTCTCACGTATTAATCCCTCTTATTCCTGATTTCTGGATTCCGAATCGATGATCTATTTTCTCTAATTCTTGAGTTGGAGTTCGAAGTTTTCAATCTAAGTATTTTTCTGGAGGTATGATGTTTAATCTGATTTCTTATCTTTAACCATTCATGAGAAACAATTTCCAGCCATACAACCATTTAGGAAGTATATCTTTCTCAATATAGCATGACATATATTCATACATTTATATCACCAAAGTATCTTATGTCTACACAAAAATTTGCACATTGTATCAGCAAATTGAATATAAAAAACATACTTTCTGCTGATTTTATTTCAAGAATTTTTTTATCAACGTTTGAAGTAGATATATATGGTAAAAGTTTATAATGAAATCAGGTACTTTATTCGACAATAAAGGTATAACAAATCAAGAGAAGCAAACACGAATAAATCAAGTTAATGATCACAAACATGGAGAAAAGTGAAAACAACCCTAATTAGTTTCTCCGAGGAAGGATGACGCTGAGTCCCACAGAAATCGCGAAAAGGAGGATTAACAATCCTGTAAAGTTTACAATAAGTGCTTCTTGGCTGCGATATAAGCCTTGAAAAAGAAACTTCTGAGTCAACCCGGTTTCAACAGTCACTATTGTCATGAAGAAGATGACAACGCCAAAGAAAGCATGCCATGGAGCCATCTTCGCCCTTGTTGCAGATTCTGCTCTCGGATACCAGAATGAGAAAAACCCTAGAAGCCACTGTGCATGCAATCCATAAGTTTATGCGAATTACTATGTGTTCTCGACCATTGTAATTCGCAAAGAATATGAACTAAATCAGATATACAAGGGTACAAAATATGTTAAAGTAACCTGTAAACCAAATAAGCAAATGGTGGATAAACCAATCCATGAATGCAGGGTGTACATATGTGGGATGTGACGTTCATGATGAAACTTGAAAACCGCATAAACACCCACAATTCCAGCAGCTAGTGCGATAAAATGAAGTATCAGATGAATTAGTTTCTGGGTTTTTCGATTAGCAGGGATGGCTTTATACACGATGATTGCTGATTCAAATACCATTATAAATTAATAACCAATGATTAGTGCAGTAATATTTGATCACGAACTGTTTGAACTGTAAAAAGTTGAATTAAATTTGTTACCTTCCCCGGAAAATAATACGAATCCAAGTGTCATAAGAAGTGGATGCAACTGCAAAAGGTAGTGAATAATTAGTTAAGATTTATGTATACGTGGTGATTAATTAATGAAAACTTACATTAAAAATCTTGGCTTTGATATGAGACTTGAAAGCAAAGCCTTCACGGAAGTGTATGAGCCAAACCAGGACAAGGGTTGCAATTGATATCACTAAGAGATGTGTGAAGACAGTCACAGGTGTTGAAGATATCCGATAACTCGCACCACCCTTCGCCATGGAAGCACCTCTATGAAACACGCACACACACACAATGTAACACAGAGATTAGTGTGTATTATAATCAATCTTGAAAAGGTCAGACAGGACATATCTAGACTTAGAATTCGATAAAAACAAAGCTCATCTTGTTTTTATCAGAAGGAAAGTTTGAATTAGTTAACATTTTATTATTATTTTGAATTAGTTAACATTTTATTATAAGGTTGGCATGATTGATGACAATAATAGATGATAGCAAGAGACTAGAACCCGACAATGTTCATAATTTCTGCGTTCATATAAAATTCATTGGAGGAGGAAATTTTAACGGATAGTGATGAACAACAAGATTCCCATGGACCAAATTCCAGGACTGATTTGATACCTACGGCTACTAGAATCTAAACTAGTATTACAAGGAATGCAAAGATATTATAGTTGAACAAGTTTTCTGGGGTAGTGAATATGAGGCTTGTATATGTTTGAGTGCTCGATATTCTTATATAGTATTAAATATTTGGCACGTATGATCATATTTTGAACCTATTAGCTCGAACCTCACTTATAATTCGCGGAAATCTCTTGTTGCAACTTGAGTCTCTCAAACTGAAATATCTTGTATCTTGAGATGTGTCTTCATTCCCATTGCTACTGTCGTACTGTGCAATATTGAAGAGCGAACTACATATTTTCTGCCTTTATTCCCAAACGGATTTTGATTTGGATATTGGAGTCCTGTTGGTCTTATGGCTATACTTGAATTGGTTGATATATACAAGAAAGCATTGGATATCCGATGCTTTCTACTGTCGGATGGTAATGTGTTGCTGCCAAAATGGAACCTTTAATTTTTTTGAAGAATTTGCATATGACTATGTTGCATCAACATATATTTTCCATTTTACATTAAAAAATATTATTGTTGCATTTAATTATTTAATATAAGATCCGAAAATATCATCTATATATGATGAAGTTGTTGCATGGCAACTCTCTCTCACATCTATATATAGAAAAGTTTTCTAATCTAGTTTGTTAATTAATTAATGGTTTATTTGATTAATAAATAATTTGTAGACTTAAGAGGTTTTAAGTGTAAAAACTTCAAAGTAAAATCTTTTAGGATAATTACATAGTGACCAAGTAATTATCTCTAAGAGTTCAAAAACTCTTCCTTATAAATAATTGTAACATCCAGATTCTTGGAGGTATTTAATTTTAATGTATTTTGGATTTTGGGCGGTACCACGTCGTAGTGATGGTTGATGTATCGCGGGTTTTAAACGGCCGCCACGGCGTGGCAGTTGTTTAATGAGAAACCCTAATATTCGGGGTTTGCACCATATTTAAGGGAATATGATGGTTAGGGTTGTTCACCCTCAACCTCCATCACACTCACTCAGCCTCCAAGCTAACCCTAATCTTTATTTTTGCTCTCTAAGCTTTTTGTGTTGATTTTAGGGATTAGAAGAAAGAAGGAGGTGACTTCTAGACTTGGATTCAGCAAGCAACTCTTCTCATCATCTTATTGTGCATCTTCTAGACTCTTGTAAGTCCCCAATTTCCAACCTTTTTGGTTTGTTGTGCATAGATCTAGGCTTCTATGCCTTGATTTTCATGTCCTTGACTATTGGGTGGTGAGATCTCATAAATTTTGCAACTTTATAAATCTCTAGGTCATTTTGGGCCTTTGATGTTTTGGATCTGGAGTAATATTGAGTTTTAGCATCATGCATGGAAGATTTGGCCAAAAACCCTCATTTTGACCTAATAGAGTCCAAGACATGCATTGGACATGCATGTCTAGAAATTATGGATTTTTATGTTGCTATTTGATGCTAGAAACGTTTTGGAAACGGAGATCTAGTAGTCTTCAAGAGAAAGTGCTTAATGGGCTAAGCCAAGTTATGTTTTTGCCCTATTTAGATCTAGAAATGGGATCTCTATCCCTTAGAGAATCTAAAGGGATAAAGTTGAAAACTTTATCCACTTGGATCTTAGAATGGACCAGATTTGGGCTTTGGAGCCCTTAAGATCAAGGAAATCAACTTAATCCATTAAGTTGTTGGGAGCCTAGTGCCCACGGCATGGCCTAGGTCTCCACGGCGTAGTGGTTGGGTTGAGGCTCGTCTGTTTTTTTCATTTAGTGGCCACGACATGGCCAATGATGGCCACGACGTGGTAACCTTCTGTAGTGGACTTTGACTTTGACTGTTGACTTTAACCAAGTTTGACCCAATGGTATTTTGGGTATTTTGAGTTGTATTTGATATTGATCACTATTTGATGAATAGGTGACGGGTAGAGCTGATATTCGGAGCAGAGACCTATTCGGAAATTTGTTCGGACCGAGAGGTGAGTTTTCCTCACTGGACTTGTGGGTCGAAGGCACCAATGCGAGCCCACTAGGTTATGTATCCGGTTATATAGGATGATGGTATGTTGGTTATATGATAGATTAGTAGATCTATATGATTACCTATATTTGTTGAATATGTGTTTATGTTTATCTGTTGTATATGTCGACACCTGCTTTGTGTTGAAGGCCAAGACATCTGGGGCAGTCCGGATACGTTGCAGTCCCTGCGAGGCGGTCCAGTCAGGCTGAAGGCTCATATTTGCATGCTTATTGTTTGTTAGGTTGTGTGGTGGTACTTTTGGGGAGCTCACTAAGTTTTGGCTTACGGTTTCAGTTTATTATTTCATGTACGTCAGAGGATCATGGGAAAGCGAAGGCATGATCGTGCACATCTTCCTGTTTTTATGACAGTGAATATTGGGATACTCTGATTATGATTGAACTTTTGAAACAATGGTCTTTTTGTAAACACTTTATGGTTTAATGAGTAGTTTTTTGAAAAATTTAAATGCTTATGATTTTTGGGATGTTACAATAATGGGGTTAATGGTCAATTTAATGATGGAGATTTCACTGACCCAAACCCTAAATTCTAGGGGTGAGCAAAAACCGAACCGCAAATAATTAAAAAAAAAGAGTAAATTACACGAACCGTCCCTCATGCAAGTGCCAAAATGCACGTTTAGTCCCTATTTTCAAAAATTAACTCAGACCGTCCCTTACATCGTAAAAAGTTACACGCTTTGTCCCTCATTAGTTTGAATTTGCACGCTTCATCCCTTGTGACTTGTGAGATATGGAACGACTAATTCCCTTTTAAATTTAATTTTTATTATTTTTGACAAATCTGATTATTATTAATTATTAGAAAATATTTTAATAATTTATATACAATCTCTCTCTCTCTCTCTCTCTCTCTCTTGTTGAAGAATACATCACCCCACCACCAAAAACCCCTTTTTACCACCATTACTGACCACCACCTCATTTTTTCTCTTCCTTGTCTTCTTCTCAACTCCGACAACCACCGGGTGCTGCCTTTCACCTCCGACAACCCCCACCACACCAAATCAAATTATACCATCAAAAACCAAAATGAATCTTAAATCAAATTCAAAACTTAAGCTACATGCAAAATCTCATATCATAAAAGAAAATCATAACACCAAATTATAAGTTACATACTAAACAATACCTAGATGCTAAATTGAAAAAATCGAAACCCAAGTGCTTCCCTGTTTGAGAGTTTAACAAAATCAGAACCGAGAGTTTAGCAAAATCAGAACTGGGTTTTGTAATCCTTGAACCCTATTGTGAACCATGATCTTCTTGGAGGTTGCAAGTATGTTGGTAGTAGTTTCGAGTTGTAGAGAAAGACTCTTAAAAGGTATTTTTTTTCGGGGTGTATTTCACATCAAATGAGGAAGAACGGGGTAATGGTAGCCCTGGAAGTTCCATACACACATCCTCGATTTCACACACACATGACGACTGGTAAATCGGAAAAACCTAGGCCACATTAGCGTCAGGGAAAGCGAAAACAGGACAGGAAAGGTGGCAATGGGCCAACGGTGTTCTTTAGGCAGAGGGGAGAACGAAGATATGGGATGGTAGTTTGGGGTCCGATTTTGATTCACTGATTTGGGGTTTCGTCGGTATCATGGCATCATGGAGGCAGGTGGCAGCGCTGTGTAGAGTGGGTGAAAAAAAAAGGAATCGAAGATTGAAGGAATTTGGGGAAGGGGAAGGGGGTGGGGATTATCTATTTTCTTTTTCTTTTTTTAAATCTAAAAATGATATATATAAAACAAAAGAAAATAAGAAATAAATAAATAATTGCAAAATAGTTTTTTTTTATGCCTAGAGAGATGAAGCATGTAAGTTTTAAACTTACGAGGGACGGTCCAAGTTAATTTTTATAATTAATGATTGAACGTGTCTTTTGGCACCTACACGAGGGACTATTCGTGTAATTTACTTAAAAAAACCCGACAAAACTGATACGAAAACCAACGGTACGGTTTTAGTTTTGCAAAAACCGAAAAATTTCGGTGTGGTGCGGTTTTTAGTTTCCTAAAAACCGCAAAACTCATTTCGTTATATTCCAATATAAATTCATAGTAGACTTAGTAGTTATGCATCAATATTATGTTAAATTGTTAATTTTTTCTTTCTCGTATCCTAAATCGCTCATTAACCTTTGGTACTTTTACTAGAACCAAACATAAATTAACATAATTATGACTATGAGATTCATTAACCTTTATCGTAAGTTATATATAAAAAAAACAAGAAGATCAAGTAAAATTATGTTTTATTTTAACTTCTCTTTTTCATAAAAGCTAAGTTTTGAAAGAAAATTGTAGTTATGTGATAAACATATCCCACATCTGCTAATATAAAGAAAATTTTGCTAAAGCTATTCGTACATAAAGAAGCTGAGGGAGGATACAAAGACTCACTATGCAAAACAGCTTCATCCTATATTGTGGTATTTTTATTTTGAGATGCCTTCTTAAAATTTCTTAATTTTGTAAGAAATTGAATAATAATTTTTTTTACATTATCTGGTCAAACAATCTACTTGACTAACATGGTGTCTAATTAGGAGTTTCTAACCAGGAGGTCATGGGTTCAATCCCAGACAAATACTAACATGCCGTTCAAAAAAATCTGGTCGAACCATCTTTACTAATTTCTTTACAACAAAGG